ACAGACATGCCATGTTGTAAAAATAGTAAAATTAGAAAAAAACTTTAAGAAAGTATTTAGTTTGTATTTCCTTGTCTTGATTTTGTGGCCGAATAATAAAGTGAAAGTATTTTGTAGCTTATAAATATTGCAAAGATGTTCTCTTATACCCTTTTTCCTCTTGACACACAACAAAATAATTTAACTATCTATGTGGTAGTTCTTCCTTATATTCCTAACCCAAAAATCTTAAACTTTTCCTCGAAACATCTGTTTTGTCTTTCTTTGCTGCTTCTGTTGAAATAAATGTTTTTTCAAAAACTCACATGTTGTGCCTGCTGTTTTAATTATACATTCACATACTTATGTATGTATGTATGCATGTGCCTTAAATGTGTTAATAAAAACCTTTCTCTTGGCAAAAATTTATTTATGGGGTTAATTGTAATTAAAATTTTATTGACAACATAATTTTCTTAATAATTTACAAGGTTAAGGTTGCCGAGATGTTTGGTTTGGTTAGTTTGTGTCAATAAGTAAAATGTTTTTACAAAAATAATAGAGTTTAAATCTAAATAAACTACATAGTATAGAGTTAAACTCTGGGGAAATTAGAGTTTATTATTGTAATAAACTTAATAGAACTGAAAATATGTATGTATGTAAGTATGGGAAATTAGAGACAATATGTATTTGATTTTGGTTGTGGTGGTAAATTTAATTTAGTTGAATAAAAATTCATATAAAACTGGAGCTTAAAGCAGAAATATTAGTTTTATTATTTGAATATGTATGTGTGATTCTTTATGTTCTTCTCTTTAGTGTTAGTTAGATATCCAGCAATTTTATTATATTAGTTCCAGAAATTGTTGTAGAACTTATATCTAAGCCTGCACTTGTTCTAGTTTGGCTTTGAGACCAATGATTTTTGTTCGAAATTGTCAACTTCGGAACTGGTCTGAGCGTTCTGAATGCCACACTCGTTCTTGCAACGGTTCTTGAAGTAATACTTTAAACAATGATTTTTGTTCGAATTTGTCAACATCGGAAACTATTGAGAAATTGCTGAAATATATATATGGCCAATTTCGTGTCAAATGACCCAACTTTAAAAATCGATGTATTCCGATTTGCATGAATTTTACCAAGGTTAGTACTATTGAATAGTAGGGCAGACACATATAAGTAACCACAAAGCTCTTAAAAAATGGTTTAAGCTTTCTTTAAAGTAAAAAAATAAAAACCCAAAACGTCATTTTGAAAAATTGAGGGAAATATATATATAAATATAAAGGCCTTAAAGGAAATAGTCAACGATTTTTGTTTGAAAAACTATCTTTTTTGTCAGGTATCCCACCTCGCTAGTTAGGCAGTTGTAGTTTAGTGTTAGTTTGTTCGTTAGTTAGTTAGTACTTCGTTAGTTCGTTCCGTTAGTTAGTTAGTTGTTAGTTAGTTAGTTCGTTAGTTAGTTAGTTAGTTAGTTGTTTAGTAGTTAGTTAGTAGTTAGTAGTTAGTTAGTTAGTAGTTCGTTAGTTAGTTAGTAGTTAGTTAGTTAGTAGTTAGTTAGTTAGTTAGTAGTTAGTAGTTAGTTAGTTAGTTAGTTAGTAGTTAGTTAGTTAGTTAGTTAGTTAGTAGTTAGTTAGTTAGTTAGTTAGTTAGTTAGTTAGTTAGTTAGTTAGTTAGTTAGTTAGTGTAGTAGTTAGTTAGTTAGTTAGTTAGTTAGTTATTAGTTAGTTAGTTAGTTAGTTAGTTAGTTAGTTAGTTAGTTAGTTAGTAGTTAGTTAGTTAGTTAGTTAGTTAGTTAGTTAGTTAGTTAGTTAGTTAGTTAGTTAGTTAGTTAGTTAGTTAGTTAGTTAGTAGTTAGTTAGTTAGTTAGTTAGTTAGTTAGTTAGTTAGTTAGTTAGTTAGTAGTTAGTTAGTTAGTTAGTTAGTTAGTAGTTAGTTAGTTAGTTAGTTAGTTAGTTAGTTAGTTAGTTAGTTAGTTAGTTAGTTAGTTAGTTAGTTAGTTAGTAGTTAGTAGTTAGTTAGTAGTTAGTTAGTTAGTTAGTTAGTTAGTAGTAGTTAGTTAGTTAGTTAGTTAGTTAGTTAGTTAGTTAGTTAGTTAGTTAGTTAGTTAGTTAGTTAGTTAGTTAGTAGTTAGTTAGTTAGTTAGTAGTTAGTTATTAGTTAGTTAGTTAGTTAGTTAGTTAGTTAGTTAGTTAGTTAGTAGTTAGTTAGTTAGTAGTTAGTTAGTTAGTTAGTTAGTTAGTTAGTTAGTTAGTTAGGTAGTTAGTTAGTTAGTTAGTTAGTTAGTAGTTAGTTAGTTAGTTAGTTAGTTAGTTAGTTAGTTAGTAGTTAGTTAGTTAGTAGTTAGTAGTTAGTTAGTTAGTTAGTTAGTTAGTTAGTTAGTTAGTAGTAGTTAGTTAGTTAGTTAGTAGTTAGTTAGTTAGTTAGTTAGTTAGTTAGTTAGTTAGTTAGTTAGTTAGTTAGTTAGTTAGTTAGTTAGTTAGTTAGTTAGTTAGTTAGTTAGTTAGTTAGTTAGTTAGTTAGTTAGTTAGTTAGTTAGTTAGTTAGTTAGTTAGTTAGTTAGTTAGTTAGTTAGTTAGTTAGTTAGTTAGTTAGTTAGTTAGTTAGTTAGTTAGTTAGTTAGTTAGTTAGTAGTTAGTTAGTTAGTTAGTTAGTTAGTTAGTTAGTTAGTTAGTTAGTTAGTTAGTTAGTTAGTTAGTTAGTTAGTTAGTTAGTAGTTAGTTAGTTAGTTAGTTAGTTAGTTAGTTAGTTAGTTAGTTAGTTAGTTAGTAGTTAGTTAGTTAGTTAGTTAGTTAGTTAGTTAGTTAGTAGTTAGTTAGTTAGTTAGTAGTTAGTTAGTTAGTTAGTTAGTTAGTTAGTTAGTTAGTTAGTTAGTTAGTTAGTTAGTTAGTTAGTTAGTTAGTTAGTTAGTTAGTTAGTTAGTTAGTTAGTTAGTTAGTTAGTTAGTTAGTTAGTTAGTTAGTTAGTTAGTTAGTTAGTTAGTTAGTTAGTTAGTTAGTTAGTTAGTTAGTTAGTTAGTTAGTTAGTTAGTTAGTTAGTAGTTAGTTAGTTAGTTAGTTAGTTAGTTAGTTAGTTAGTTAGTTAGTTAGTTAGTTAGTTAGTTAGTTAGTTAGTTAGTTAGTTAGTAGTTAGTTAGTTAGTAGTTAGTTAGTTAGTTAGTTAGTTAGTTAGTTAGTTAGTTAGTTAGTTAGTTAGTTAGTTAGTAGTTAGTTAGTTAGTTAGTTAGTTAGTTAGTTAGTTAGTTAGTTAGTTAGTTAGTAGTTAGTTAGTTAGTTAGTTAGTTAGTTAGTTAGTTAGTTAGTTAGTTAGTTAGTTAGTTAGTTAGTTAGTTAGTTAGTTAGTTAGTTAGTTAGTTAGTTAGTTAGTTAGTTAGTTAGTTAGTTAGTTAGTTAGTTAGTTAGTTAGTTAGTTAGTTAGTTAGTTAGTTAGTTAGTTAGTTAGTTAGTTAGTTAGTTAGTTAGTTAGTAGTAGTTAGTTAGTTAGTTAGTTAGTTAGTTAGTTAGTTAGTTAGTTAGTTAGTTAGTTAGTTAGTTAGTTAGTTAGTTAGTTAGTTAGTTAGTTAGTTAGTTAGTTAGTTAGTTAGTTAGTTAGTTAGTTAGTTAGTTAGTTAGTTAGTTAGTTAGTTAGTTAGTTAGTTAGTTAGTTAGTTAGTTAGTTAGTAGTTAGTTAGTTAGTTAGTTAGTTAGTTAGTTAGTTAGTTAGTTAGTTAGTAGTTAGTTAGTTAGTTAGTTAGTTAGTTAGTTAGTAGTTAGTTAGTAGTTAGTTAGTTAGTAGTTAGTAGTTAGTTAGTTAGTTAGTTAGTTAGTAGAAGAAGCTTATTTTGTGATCGCTTATAGTTCGGGTGATTAAAAATGTTTTCATTACTTCCACCTTCTTCTGGATCACATAGTCAAGCCATAAACCTAACATTTATTTCATCTCAGCAACTAAAAGTATGCTTTCAAAAATATTACTCTAATTAAACCCTTTGTTTTCTAAAAATATATATTTTAACATTTACAATTACGATCATGATTCATATGAAATCGCATACAATCGGTATCTACTGCTGTCCCAGCAACAACAATAACAAAAGCACCCTCTATACAGTAGTTTTCCGATTTAACGAACCCATATGTTGTCAGGCCTGTTCGTAAAATTGAAAAGTTCGTTATATGCAGTACTAACTAAAGCGTGGGTTTTTAGTAGGAAAATAATTAAAAATAGGTACATAAAATATTTTTTAAATGTATTTTATAAAAATTAATTCTTTTTTTATAAAAATAGCACAAAACACAAAATTCCGAATTTTATATACCCACCTTCAAACCATATATGTGTCGAATTTAATCGCTGTATTTTTAATTCAGTCATGAGCTTTAAAGTTATTTCTCGAAGTTCATCGCTATACTCGTATTTTTAAGCGAGTAATGAGCGTTGAAGTGATATGGAGGGTAAGGTCAATTATTTCCCATAAAATTTGTTAGAGATTTCGGTTAGTATAGAACATGTTTGTATCGAATTTCATCGGCGTACTCGTATTGTTAAGCGAGTATTGAGCGTTAAAGTCATTATCTGAAGGACGGACGGACATAGCTACATCGAACTAAAATTTAATAAGAACCCAGAATGTGTTACAGTTTTGGGTATAAAAGAACCACTTAAAACAACGGTATAGTTTTTTGCTACAACTTAGGTTATTTGTTATTTTTGATAAATGTCATTTTATCTTCATTTAAATAATAATATTTTTATTAGTTCGTTAAACAGAGTACAAAAAACAAGTTTTGTTTGTTATTTAAGGTAGTCAATAGGAAAAATTAGTTTGTTCGTTAAATGCGATGTTCGTAGAATTGAATGGTCGTTAAATCGGAAAACTACTGTATTTATATTTTAAACAAAAATTTGTTGCCGTTTTTAACCGATTTCTTTTGTTGTTATTGGAAAAATCTTTAATCAATAATGAAAACAAAAATAAATAAAAAAGCACACAATCAACTAAATATTTTTGTGAATCCATAAATAATTTTAACAACAACGGCGGCAGTCGACGATGATCATTGATTGGGTTAAAGACGGACAAGCACAAGTAATTGTTTAATAAAATAAAATAAATATTTAAACAAAGTACTTTGCATTTGCAATCTACAAGATACTTGAACTCGTAAAATATATATTAAATAAATATTTATATATAAATAATAACAAAGTAATTTTTTGTTAATTTAGTACATTTTTAAATTAAAAATTATTGTGTTAGTGTTATTGTTTAAAAAAAACATTTAAGGAAGCCCAAATGGTCATTAATCAGTTAATTGTTTATTTATTGTTAACAATTGTTACTTCAAATAAAACTGATAACAAAGTATTAAAACGCATTTTTAAAGCTTTTTGGTGATAAAAAAATAATTTATAGATAATTATTATTAAATAATGCATTGAAGTGATTTAATTTTGTGTTTGTAAAAAAGTGCCGAAATCATGATTAATTCTTTAATAGTTAATAATGAAATAAACAAAGAAGATTTAAATAGAAATCTTTTATTTCGTATTGAAAATTCTTGTGAAATTACAAGCGCCTGTGATAAATGTAACATGAATACGGAAACAAATTCAAATTTATTAAGTGATCATGAACAAATTGAGCGTAAAGATTTTATAGATGATTTGGAATATAATAAACGCATATGGAAGGTGCCCTGGTTTATATTGATAATGTGTTTTCTACAGGTAAGTAAACAATGTATTTAAGTGTTTCCAGCAATGCTATAACGAAACTTGCATACACTTTTTAAATAAAAGAAATCATGAAAGTCTAGGCTAAAGTTCAGATTATAGTCCAGGATATAGACAAGACTGTAGTCCAGACTGTAGGCGGGACTATAGTCCAGACTATAGACAAGACTATTTTCTATACTATAAACAAGGCTACGATCCAAACTTTACACAATAGCATAATGCAGAATATAGAGAAGACCATATTCCGGACTATAGACAAGACTACAGTTCGGACTATGGAAAAGATTATAGCCCAGGCTATAGACAAAACTATAGTCCAGACTATAGACAATACTATAGTTCAGACTATAGACAAGAGTATAGTCCAGACTATAGACAAGACTATAGTCCACACTATAGGCAAGACTATAGTCCAGACCATAGACAAGATTATAGTCAAGACTATGGATAAAACTACAGTCCAGACTATGAACAAGACTATAGTCCGGACTATAGACAAGACTATAGTCTGGACTATAGACAAGGACTATATAGTCCAGAGTATAGACAAGACTTTAGTCCAAATAATAGACAAGACTTTAGTCCAGTTAATAGACAAGACTTTAGTTCAGATAATAGACAAGACTACAGTCCAGACTATAGACAAGACTATAGTCAAGGCTATAGACAAGACTTTAGTCCAGTTAATAGACAAGACTTTAGTTCAGATAATAGACAAGACTACAGTCCAGACTATAGACAAGACTATAGTCCAGACTATAGACAAGACTATAGTCCAGACTATAGACAAGACTATAGTCCAGACTATAGACAAGACTATAGTCCAGACTATAGACAAGACTATAGTCCAGACTATAGACAAGACTATAGTCCAGACTATAGACAAGACTATAGTCCAGACTATAGACAAGACTATAGTCCAGACTATAGACAAGACTATAGTCCAGACTATAGACAAGACTATAGTCCAGACTATAGACAAGACTATAGTCCAGACTATAGACAAGACTATATAGTCCAGAGTATAGACAAGACTTTAGTCCAGATAATAGACAAGACTTTAGTCCAGTTAATAGACAAGACTTTAGTTCAGATAATAGACAAGACTACAGTCCAGACTATAGACAAGACTATAGTCAGGCTATAGACAAGAGATAGTCCAGACTATAGACAAGACTATAGTCCAGACTATAGTCCAGACTATAGATAAGACTATAGTCCAGACTATAGACAAGACTATAGTCCAGACTATAGACAAGACTATAGTCCAGACTATAGACAAGACTATAGTCCAGACTATAGACAAGACTATAGTCCAGACTATAGACAAGACTATAGTCCAGACTATAGACAAGACTATAGTCCAGACTATAGACAAGACTATAGTCCAGACTATAGACAAGACTATAGTCCAGACTATAGACAAGACTATAGTCCAGACTATAGACAAGACTATAGTCCAGACTATAGACAAGACTATATAGTCCAGAGTATAGACAAGACTTTAGTCCAGATAATAGACAAGTCTTTAGTCCAGTTAATAGACAAGACTTTAGTCCAGTTAATAGACAAGACTTTAGTTCAGATAAAAGACAAGACTACAGTCCAGACTATAGACAAGACTATAGTCCAGACTATAGACAAGACTATAGTCCAGACTATAGACAAGACTACAGTCCAGACTATAGACAAGACTATAGTCCAGACTATAGACTATAGTCCAGACTGTAGACAAGACTATAGACAAGACTTTAGTCCAGATAATATACAAGACTATAGTCCAGATAATAGACAACACTATAGTCCAGATAATAGACAACACTATAGTCCAGACTTTAGTCCAGAAAATAGACAAGACTATAGTCCAGATAATAGACAACACTATAGTCCAGACTATAGAAAATACTATAGTCCAGACTATAGACAAGACTATAGTCCAGACTATAGACAACATTATAGTCTAGACTATTGACAGGACTATAGTCCAGACTATAGACAAGACTATATTCCAGACTATAGACAATACTATAATCGAGACTATAGACAAGACTATAGTCCAGACTATAGACAAGACTATAGTCCAGTCGATAGAAAATACTATAGTCCAGAATATAGACAAGACTGCAGTCCAGACTATACACAATACTATATTGCACAGTATAGACAAGACTATATTCCAGACTATTGACAAGACTATAGTCCAGACAAGGCTACCGGGGTATAATCAAAACTTTAAACTAGACTGAAGTCCATACTATAGATTGCAACATAATGCAATTTTTAATACATTTTTAATGTCTCCTGCAGTTGTCATATTAATTGAGTAATAAAAATCGTGCTATATAAATGAATTGTAAATCAAATGACATTAATTTGTATTTTACAAAATTTCATAAGACCACAATTATCTGCGGTTTTAGTAAGAAAATAATGGAAACATCACACCAACTAAATCAATAAAAACACTGGTTAAACACAAATAAACTAGTGAACTAATTAAAAAAGGTTGTTCGGTTTGCCCATCTGTCCATCTGCCCTTTTTAATTCATTGTATTAGAGATTTGGCGCGAAGCAAGTGTTGCGGTTGTTAACAAAAAAATTTTATATTATATATTATAACAGCTAAGGGGTGGCGAATGGAATTTTCATTTAAATAAAATAAATCCTCGAAAAAAAAAAAAAAAAAACCAAAAACTAAACAATTTAACGTTTAGATTTAGGCATATCATCCCCCCTCCAATAAAAAGCAGCCAGTGATAAATTGTTCGTTGAACACCTTAATTTGGAATTAATTTGTCATGATTTGTCATATTTTATTTTGGTAACGTTGACATCAATAGTTAGTTAATGCACAGAAAACCGAGCAACAAAAAATATTGTTATGTTTTGCGACATTTGCACATCAAGTGGATTCGGATGGTTGGATGGATGAAGTTTTATGTTCAAATGCAACCACAATCTCTATCGCCACCACTACCATCACCGCAGTAACGCAGACAAAACGTCAATGCCAAATGGAAAATCAACTCAATGATTGAATGATTCAATGAAACCTCATCATACTCTCAACTGGAAGATACTTTTAATGCACATTTATCGCTGATTTTCTGTGACTGTGTGTTGTTGTTGTTGTTGTTTCTTTTGCTACTTTTTTCAAGCCATACAAATTTGGTTGGCAATAACAACTTGCGGTTTTTTGTTGTTTTTTTTTTAACTTTTCGGCTTTGGGTTTCAAATTCTGTTGCAAGTCTGTTCAATGGTCGTTTTGTATACAATTGAGATGAAAGATCTTGGGCCAAATTTGAAAATTTAAGTTTAAACATAAACGAAAATGGCTAATTGGTAAATTTAGGACAAGGAAATGGACAAGTGCTTCTGTTAAGTTTTCTCCAAGTTGATCAGTTTTGTACATTTTCAACATACATGTTTCCTTTACTCATTCCATGATCATTCGTCTGATCAAAATTTTCCATTGGCCCTAATGCTATAAATACTTATGTAGCCAGTGGATGGATGGATAACTGACTAAATGCTTGACTGACTGCCTGCTAGCTTATTTGGTTATGGCTATTGTATCATTTGTCACTACTAAATAATGTAGTGTCCATATGTCGTCTGCTTTTGGTTTCAATGTACTTTTGCATTGCGGTTGGAACCGCAACAAGATAACAACAACAAAACTAACATTCGTATATAACATGTTAATCCATGTTGAATTTATGTCACGGTAACTTTATTGGAAAACATGATTTCACTATTTTATCCATATGGTCGTAACGTTGGTACATAAATATGTATGTATATCGATTACAATAACCATTTAATGAACCAACTTAATTGAGTAATACTTAGTTAATTGTTTCTTTTTTTTTTACACAACACTTTAAATATATTCAAGTTGTCATTTAAGGCATTGCTGGAAATGTTTTAAATTCTCAAGTTATTTGCTATTCTTGAAATGATTTTCATATTTTTCTTTTAGATCTCTTTGTATTGTATAGCGAATGCCTGCATGCGTCAACAATTAATGTTTATGCCGGAAACCATTAATGATTACTGGAGATATTTTACTTATATGCTGTTGCATTCAGATGTCTTGCATTTATCAATGAATGTGTGTCTTCAGGTGGGTGGTGTAAAGTATGTAGTTAAAGGTTTAGGTTTTCTGAAGTTTTTCTAGGGAAATTGTAAGTTTTTTTTAGAAAATTTTACAAGGATTGTAACTGAGGGAAACAAAAATTATAACTATAGCAAACTATATTGTTGGCAAGACTACATTTTATCTATCGTTACAACCATAGTGCAACTTAAAAGAGATTGACTATGGGTTGGACTCGAACGAACGAAAGAACGAACGAACGAACGAACGAACGAACGGAACGAACGAACAACAAGAACGAACGAACGAAAGAAGAACGAACGACGAACGAAACGAAACGAACGAACGAACGAACGAACGAACGAAGAACGAACGAACGAAACGAACGAACGAAACGAACGAACGAACGAACGAACAACGAACGAAAACGAACGAAACGAACAACGAACGAACGAACGAACGAACGAAACGAACGAACGAACGAACGAACGAACGAACGAACGAACGAACGAACGAACGAACGAACGAACGAAACAACGAACGAAACGAAGAACGAACGAACGAAGAACAACGAACGAAACGAACGAAACGAACGAACGAACGAACGAACGAACGACGAACGAACGAACGAACGAACGAACGAAACGAACGACGAACGAACGAACGAACGAACGAACGAACGAACGAACGAACGAACGAACGAACGAACGAACGAACGAAGAACGAACGAACGAACAACTAACTAACTAACTAACTAACTAACTAACTAACTACTACTAACTAACTACTAACTAACGAACTAACTAACTAACTAACTAACTAACTAACTAACTAACTAACTAACTAACTAACTAACTAACTAACTAACTACACTAACTAACTAACGAACTAACTAACTAACTAACTAACTAACTAACTACTAACTAACTAACTAACTAACTACTAACTAACTAACTAACTAACTAACTAACTAACTAACTACTAACTAACTAACTAACTACTAACTAACAACTAACTACTAACTAACTACTAACTAACTAACTAACTAACTAACTAACTAACTAACTAACTAACTAACTAACTAACTAACTACTAACTACTAACTAACTACTAACTAACTAACTACTAACTAACTAACTAACTAACTAACCTAACTAACTAACTAACTAACTAACTACTAACTAACTAACTAACTAACTAACTAACTAACTAACTAACTACTAACTAACTAACTAACTAACTAACTAACTAACTAACTAACTAACTAGTAACTAATAACTAACTACCTAACTAACTAACTAACTAACTGGTTTTGGCTATAGTTTAACTTTGGGCTTGACTTTAATTGACTAAATCCTCGACTGTAGTTCTGCTCAAGACTATAGTTCAAAGTATTATTTTCACTATGATATGACTTCAGTGTGACTAAAGTGAGCTGATATATTTTGAATATATTTAAGACTCTAGCCTTGACTACGACTTCGCTATAGTCTTAAGTATAGTTTGGCTATATTTTAACTAAAGCCTCGAATGTACCTTGATCATAGTCAAGACTATTGTTTACACAATATTAAAGATTATTGTTTGTAGTTTGACTATGATTTTGACTATAGTTACTATGGTCTTGACTATAGTATGACTATAGTTAAACTATGGTCAATATTATTCTTCATATCTTAGACTTTGGTTTTAACCATCCATTGACTACAGTATGGCTATTGCTTGAGTACATTCTTTTCTTTAGTTTGACTACAGTCTTGCTTATAGCTTGACTATATTCATGACTAGTGCTTGACTATAATATAGATTATAGTTCCTCTATATTATAGTCGTTTATATTTACAGCAGATATGTATTAAATCTTGATTCCTGGCTATAGTTTATAATATAGTCTTGGCATTAAACTACATTTATGACTATTATCTTGACTATAGTTTGCCTACATTCTTGGCTATCGCTTGACTATTGTGTGACCATAGTCCCTTAGATTAGACTGTAGTCGTGACTTATACTTTGCGGTATATTAAAAAATATACCGCAAAGTATAACTTTGCGCTATATTTTTTAAATATTAAGTTTTGACTATTAGTTTGATTATAGTTTTGACTATATTTTAGTAGGTCATATTGACCACAAATTTGATTACTTTGGGTCTTCAACAACATTTAAATATCTATCAATTTATATTTAATTTGTTTCCATAAAATTTTCCTTATTCATTATTGACAGTTCGTTATTGGTTTCTGTTTGGAAAGTGAACAAGGTCATTTGAGAGTAGCATGTATTTATATAATTGGCGGAATTGCTGGTTCATTGGCCACTCTTTATTTGCAGCCACAACTGTCACTAATGGGTGCTTCAGCCGGTGTCTATGCCATGTTGATGAGCCACATACCACATTTGTTAAAGGTTAGTGAAGCGTGCCATACAAATAAGATTACCCATTCGCTTATATGCATACTTACAACTGTGATCATAATGTGTAAACATATACATACGATATGGGAAGAGCGTTTTTTATATATTTTGTAGACACACCAGATCCATTGTTACACTTGCCCACCCCCCATGCCACCTTTCATCTAATATAGATTTCTATTAATATTTAAAACAAAATGTTTTAATTTAGTTTTGTATTTTGCAGAATTTTCATAATTTGCCCCAACGTTATTTGCGCATTCTGTCGATGGTGATTTTATTTATAAGTGACATGTGTTTTACCACATTTCATGTTCTCATCAATCACAATACGAATCCACGTATATGTTTGGAAGCTCATGCAGCCGGTGCCATTAGTGGTCTAGTGTTTGGATTTTTAATATATAAAACAAATTCCAAAAAGTCTACGTTTGTTGGTGGTAGATTGAAAACATTGCCCAGAGGTAGAGATGATCAACATGTATGACGTATGCTAGAGAACAATGAAATTTGTTGTTGGCTTTGTTTTCCAGAGACTATAGATGCGATGCGATGATTGTTGTAGTTAATTTTAGTTTTAAATAATTTTAAGGCAAAAAATTTACATTTTATTTATATAGAAAAAAAATATTTGCATGTTTAGCTTTTGATAAGTATAGAGTGTATATTTATATATAATTTATTTATTACTTATTAGTAGTTCATATATAGGAAATTTAATTATTTTATTCTTCATAATTTTTGACACTTTCATATGAAATTATTATTTTCATGTTCAATTAAAGTGTAAGTCACGTAATTGTTTAACCAGTTGTTTGTACATATGTTTCACTTTCATTTAGCATAAGTTTTATTAGTATTTTATGAAAAAAAAAACATCTACTTGATTATTATGGTAATATAATAACAATGTATAACCTTTTATGGTTTAATAACATTTAGGGTAATCATAGATTGTTGCTAGCAAAGTGTTAGTTATAAATTAAAGCAAAACATGCTTAATTAAGCAGTTGCTAATATATTTTTGTATATTCCTTATATAAAACTGTTAACTCCTCCTTTAGTTATTAGCTTTTTATACCCTACACCACTTTAGTGGGGAGGGTATATTGGGTTTGTGCTGATGTTTGTAACGCACAATAATATTGGTTCTATACCCACCTTAAAGTATACCAATCGGCTCAGAATCATTTTCTATACGTCCGTCTGTCTGTCCGTCCGTCTGTCTGTCTGTCTGTCTGTCTGTCTGTCTGTCTGTCTGTCCGTCCATGTAAACCTTGTAATCAAACTACAGGTCGCAATTTTGAAGATAATTCAATGAAATTTGGTACATGATCTGCTATTGTCCCAGGGACGAAGCCTATTGAAAATGGTTAAAATCGGTCCAATATTTCACCTAGCCCCCATACAACTGAAGCCCCCAATAGGGCTTGCCATCCTTGTAATCAAACTACAGGTCGCAATTTTGGAGATAATTCAATGAAATTTGGCACATGATCTTTTATGGTATCGAAGCCTATTGAAAATGTTTGACATCGGTCCATTATTTCACCTAGCCCCCATACAACTGAACCCCCGAATAGGACTTTTAAACCTTGTAATCAAACTACAGGTCGCAATTTTAGAGATAATTCAATGAAATTTGGCACATGATCTTTTATGGTATCGTAGACGAAGCCTATTGAAAATGTTTGACATCGGTCCATTATTTCACCTAGCCCCCATACAACTGAACCCCCGAATAGGGCTTTTAAACCTTGAAATCAAACTACAGGACGCAATTTTGGAGATAATTCAATAACATTTGGCACATGATCTTTTATGTTCAAAATGGTTTACATCGGTCCATTATTTCACCTAGCCCCCATACAACTGAACCCGCCGAATAGGGCTTTTAAGTTCATAATTATGTTTAATATACTCATATTGCGACAAAAAGCTGCAAAAACCAAGTTGTATACAAGACTTTATAACCTTCACGAATTCCATAATAATAGATTCTAATATGACCCTAGCCCCTATGAAAAGCCCCCATCAAAATTTTACTTAAATGTCCACAATTTTATTCAACAATAAATGGCTTAAGTTCATCTGAGACAAGGTACAATTCAACTTAAAAGCTTTATTATGAAAACTAAATCACATTTTAATTTTGTCAAAGGTGTAGGGTATTATATGGTCGGCCTCGCCCGACTATAATTTCTTACTTGTTTTATATTGAACTCTTGAAATCATAATTATTTTTTGTTTAACATAAAAAATCGTGATAAAATTATACAATTTGCTTTATGGATTTTATTTATTTATTACTAGTTTAAGTATTTAGTATTCCATATGTTTGATTAACTTGTATTTATGGATAATAAACGATTAGATTTTTTATGTAGTCACTTGTTGATTTGAATGAGGGTCAAATTGTTTAAAATAAATAAAAACTGAAAATTTAATTATTTTTTAAGGGAATGAGATTTATCACATAATAAGCTCCTTTTTTATCTGAAAGGTGATCAAATTCTTTTGATGCTTTTCATCTTCGTGAGGGGACTATATGGATCCCAAATCGATTAAGTCATGTCCGTCTGTATGTTGAGATACATTTTTTTGAAGACATGTTTTCGAGAATTCCGAAACCATCCATACAAATATTGCAGAAATATGTGAGAAATTATTTTTGGAAGTAGCTGACCATATTAGACCCTACACCAGTTATGAGTCTTAAGCGGCCAATTCAAGCCCAATCAGTCCATCATTAAGTACAGTAGAAGATCAATTTGATTAGTAAGTCTACATGAACGGACAGACAGACGAATATAGCTGAATAGAATTAGAAAATTATTCTAAGTCGATAGGAATACTTGAAGATGGGTATAGAACAGAGGAGCTCAAGATTACCATTTCATAGCACGCGTGATAGGGTAAGAAAATTCTGCTGACACTAAGTTGATACACATAAACTATAGGTTTAATACTTCTTCTTTTTATAATGAGCAATATCAGTTGGTTTGCTCTCAACTTGAAAAACAAAATCAAATCAGTTGCTGATCAGCACTTGTCGAAGCAAGGTCTGTGCGCGACGTTTTCAAAATACACACAGAAATACAACAACAAAATTTTGAGAAAGCCGAATTAATGTAGGAGAATATGAGAGAACAGTTGATAGTTTTTTATATATAGACTTTGATATACGCTGGCTGTCAAAATCCATAATAAATACTTGACAGTTAGCATATACTTCATAGTTTGTAGTCATTTTATTAGGATACTTTTATTTTGAATTGAATTCTGTTCTCTGCTGCTTTACCAACACAAATAAAACAATGGTAGTCTATGCTAGTATGTGTTTGAGCACCACTGGTATAGAACGAATATTATTGTGCATTACAAACATCAGCTTAAACCCAATATACCATTTCCACTAATTCTAAAAATATTATAAAATATAGCGAAACCGAGAATATCTGAGTTATCTGAGGGAACGTCAGTCATTAATAGATTTTAAAAGCAAATGCTCAAAACTTCGACAGTACCTCTGATAATCGTTTAAAATGCTACCCTAAGTACTGCCAATACACAACATTAAGTTGACTAAATAGTTCATACTAAAATGTCACCGGAGAAATCGTCTCAACGCTTGGATGGTTGGTTTTTCAGGCTGCGAAAAACGCAAGTATGGCTCCTCATGGTCCCTCAAAACTTCGACAGTACCTCTGATAATCATTTAAAATGCCACCCTAAGTACTGTATATGACCGTACACAACATTAAGTTGACAAAATAGTTTATACAAAAATGTCACCGGAGACATCATCTCAACGGTTGGATGGTTGGTTTCTCAGGCTGCGAAAGACACACATATGGGTGATCATGATCCCTTTGTGATATCCGTAAGTAGATAAAAAAATAGGAAAAGAAGGAGACAAGGAAATGAGTGATCAATAGTTAAAAGAAGAATGTAAATTGAGACAACGGAAACAGTGATCATATTTAGAAGAAGAGAGTTTTAGCCTCAAAGAGCTACTGATCAGTGTTGTTGGGGTTTGTCGATCAAACCAACCGGCATGCCTGATAAAGGCATTTAGGTTATTTGGTTTAATTCCAGATAACTCTAAAGCGTCCTCCAAAGATCTATGTCTCAGATATCGAAGACGAATGTCTCCTAATGCTGGACAGTGACATAGAAGATGATAATTGTAAGGTACTCCAAGTCTTGAAACATTGTCAAGTATTCCAAGTCTCATAACAAATTTACAATGCCCTGAGATCATTTTGCTGAGTTCGGATCTGCTGTGTTTCGTAAGATAGTCCATGCGCTCTAGCTTTGGTCATATCTTCTTATCCATCTCACCTGGGATAGTTCGTAGAACATATTGTCTATAAGTCTTTTGTTAACTATTATCGGAGTATCACAAATGTCAATGTCCGAGTCGGATATGTGTAAACCTATTTTCGCGAGTTTGTCCGCGGTTGAGTTGCCTGTAAAATGCCTTTGTTCTCGTAATCATATGAGTACGATGTCTCGTCATACTGTTGAAGAATGTTCGGCATTGCTTGACTATCTCGGACCGAATTACACTTCAATCATTGTTGATTTTGAAAGTAATCCTGTAAAAACACTGGGATGATCCCAAGAGTCATACTAGAAAAGACGTTTGTGTGTAGCGATCGATGCCTGTTTATGGAAGCTTTGAACGACATTAATAAATATGGAAAGAAGTTCTGACATGGGATCTCAGGTTTGTTAGCGGTTGCATTCGCAAGTTTGGCTTCGTGTGCATTAGCTGCAGCGGATGTCGCTACACGTTTCGGAGGGTTATAGGCTTTGAGGCTGTCGATCCATCTGATCTGCCTCTCTTTCGTGGGATTTTCAAGTCACGTAATAAATTTCGAACCTTCTTCATCGGTTTTTGGCATATTTCACGTGCCTCCTCGATATCCAAAGGCGCTGCGCCACTGCGATAGAGGATTGCGTGTTAGGAAGAGATTCCAGTAACGCATCATCATCGTCCGTTGGGATAGGTACATCAGTAGAATTAGGACATGAGTCCCCCAACATCATGGTATCATCGAGAATTTTTTGAGCAGTTTGATCAGTAGATATTTGCTCATATTCTATTCCATGGGGACCTGACCTGATCTGTTTTAATATTTTTGTTTTGTTTAAATGGGGAAGGACATCATGCAACAGAGCCCTGCATATTGCCAACAAATACAACCGGACAGTACCCTGATCCGGAAGCCACCGTAATAAGACACACTTACGTAGTGCCATTCATCTAATGGTCACGGTATGGATATCAACCGGAATTAAGGGTTTTTATCGAGTGTCCACTTTAGATCCGCAATACGGGGTGATATTGCCACGTATGGTCGGTCATTGGAATATGAAGAGGCTATAGCAGTATCAAATTGCTCTCGCTACTTTTTCTCCAAAAAATGCCAAGAATACGCGATGTTCCCTAGCGGTCCTCCATCTAAGTACTAACCGCTCGCGAAGCTGCTTAATTTCGGTGATCGGACGAGAACCGATATATTCAGCGTGGTAAGGTCGTTGGCTTATAATTAAGTTTGAACTAAGTGCATTCTGTAGTTGCCAGTTAGACCTCGAAGTCTGACTGTTGATCTCATTAAACTGAGTTGAGCTTGTTTATATAGTTGCATCAGGTTGGTGATACTCAAGTATAAATTAACCTTGTTCCAGAATACAGATAAGGCAACATTTATGGAAGAAGGAGTTCGTAACGCAATAGCCATTATTCAAATTATTTGGGAATCCTCATTACTACTACGACCAGTCTACTAGCTACAGGCATTGCATATGATCAATGATAAGGATTATAATATAAATAATGCACAATAGAACAGTAGGGGCGTAACAAGAGCGTTGGAAAGCCAGTTGATTTCTTTCTTGTTATTTTTCCAGCTGGTCTTATTTGAAAAACCCTAAGAAGAATCCTTAATAGTCCTAGCATCCTTAATAGTCCTCCAGCTGGTCGTATTTGAAAAAACCCTAAGAAGAATCCTTAATAGTCCTAGCACAATTAAAAAACAGCTTTATTTTAGTTATTTATTCAATTTATTTTATTTTAAAACCTTAATAAATAGGTATTTTATATGTATATAAAGGTTGTATGTAAAGGTTGTATAAAACTACAATAATTTTTCTTAAAAATTACAAATAAATATTGTGACATATATTTAAAAATAATTTAGAATGTTCGTATATCATTGGAATAACTTATTTGCAAAAAATTTCTCCATAAACATTTTACAATTGTGCAATTTTCTTACAAATACTTAATAAATATTTGGGCAATTCACAAAAAAGTCATACTGTTGTATGCAATAATTAAAACATTTTATGATTTTTATTACAATGAGACGACAATACAAACTGTGAATTGTTTAATTAAAATTTAATACTTTAAAGAGTAAAATAATTTAAATTTACAGCTTAAAATCTGAGTTATAAATCTTAAATAAAATCTTATAAAACGATTTGAGTAAATACTAAGTTATAACTAACTATTGTCTTGATAATTTAATATAAATATTATATTAACCCCTTAAAGCATTGATTTTAATCTTAAGATAACTTATGATGTTATTTTCAGATTTTTTTAAAACTAAATGATCGTGTTTTTCATATTTAACTTAAAGTAGAAAATACTAAACTAAATTTTAAAAACTATAATTTAAATAAGAGAAAAAATAGTTGAAATTTCTAAAATAAAACCATTCTCTCAGCAGTCTAATGGTCCACACTTAACACCAATTTCTGTGCATTTACACTCTAAACAGGGTGATGAAAGTTCAAGTATGATGCGGCCAACGCGATACATACGTCCATAAATATTACAACCCGCCAATTTTAAAATACCTGTGGGATCAATTAAATTATTTAGTGATGATGATGAAGATGACTGTTGTTGCTGATGCTGTGAGGCCATTGACGAGGGTGATGACACCTGGGAGTTGTATTGTGTAGAGGTAAGATGAGAGGCATTGGATAAATCAGAGTTAGGGGCTGAGTAAGAATAATGCTGAGGGCGTTGTTGTTGTTGCGTTGTAGGTTCTAAGCCCTCCAATTGATTAAGTGTATGTTTGTAATGTACCAAACCCATTAATTTATGCCTCGAAGACGATGTTGCAGATGAATCATATTCATCAGCATTATCTTGCTCACCATCTAGCATTGAAGCATCGTCAATTGTTGCAAAATGTGGTTGTTGCTGTTGTCGTTGTGGCGGGGAGGAGGTGGTGGTTGATGTTGTAGAGGGCGTTGCTGAATTACGTTTCACTTCAAAACTGGCATCCATGAAAGGCAATTTGTCAAAAGGTGACATAAAAAATGGATTTGTAGTTGCAGTCTTTTGTTGTGTTGCAGCAGAAGCGGAGTTTGTTGGTACCGTGGTGGTTGTTGTTGTTGTCGTCGTAGGTCTAGTGGTAGTTGTCTTTTTAGTTGTTGCACTGGTACTGATAGTTGAGGTTTTAGATTTAGTCACAGCCTGTATATTTGCATTAGCTGTTGTTGGTTTTGCTGTCCGTCTAGTGGCCAAAGAGGTTCTATCAATATTTATTGCATTTGGTTTAACAGTGTTCTTTGTTGTTGTTGCTGTTGTCGTAGAGTTGGTGGTCGTTGGTTTATTATGTTTTGTTGGTTTAGTACTTGTTACACGTCGTGTTGCATTGGACTTAGTTTTCAATGTTGACATAGAGCCGCCAGATGATGAAGAGGAATAACTAGAAGATGACGATGATGATGATGATGATGTTGTTGATGACGCCAATATTTTCATTTCACTAACATTCAATGTGGAATTTTTATTTATTTTTGTAGGTTTTTGTTGCTGTTGCTGTTGCTGCAGCGTTTGTGTTTGTTTAGTTCTATAGGCAGTGGAGGCAATTGTTTTATTACGATTTACCTTAATATTTGCTGCAACTACTGTTGGCCTTTTCGTTGTTGTAGTTGTTGTGGTCATTTTCCTAGTTGTCGTTGATGTACTAACTATTGGCCTTAACGTTGTTTCTGTTTGTTTTAATTTGTTATTTGTCTGTGCTATGCCAGACTCTTTTGTCAACGTCATAGTCGTTATAGTTGTTGTATTGTCATCTTGCCTCAATTGTTGTACTACCATTGCCGCCTTTGGTAATGTTTTAAATGGAGGTATTGTACTCACATCATTTACATCAACATTAGCTTCATCATCCATGTCAACGCCAATGGTTTGTTGCATAAGTTTTTCTTCGTTTTCAGCCAGAGTTTTATTGAAACCATTGTTCTGACCGTCATTGTTGTTGTTGTTATTATTATTGCTGTTTGCAACATGCGTAGCTGTCATTTTGATTTGGGTTGTCCTTTTTGTATTCATTGAATTTGTATCTGTTTGTTTTAAATTCATTTCAATTTCTGCTATATTTTGTGGCTTATCATTTAACTGACTACTTGTGGCTGTTGTAGTCGTTGTTGTTGCGCCTGATTTGCCAATAAAATTCTTTAATTTGTCTTCGATTAGAGATATCAAATCTGGTGGCGGTTCAGTGCGTATGACATCTTTAAAGGGATCGGGTGTGGTGATTTCTAGAAAAAGACATGGAAATAAAACATATAATTTCAAAAAAATTGTTTAGCTTTAAAGACCATAAGTACTTATGTAGGTTATGTTTGGAGATATTTGTATATGAATTCTGAGAAAGTTTACGATACGCAAAATATTGACAATCAATCAGTGGCAAGCACAGAGTAATACCGATATCAATGCCAAAAATGCTAACATTATAAACTAATAAGAATGTTGTATTTGACAACCACTTCTTAAGGTTCGTTTAAAAGTTTAGGGATCCCTCTAAAACTAAAGATTTTATTTTATAAAAGGTTTATAAAACAAAATTTCCAAATCAAATTTGGTTTATAAACCATTTATAAAATAGGAAAGTCTTTTTGAATAAGGTCTCTTTGTTAGTTAGTTAGTTAGTTAGTTGGTTAGTTAGTTAGTTAGTTAGTTAGTTAGTTAGTTAGTTAGTTAGTTAGTTAGTTAGTTAGTTAGTTAGTTAGTTAGTTAGTTAGTTAGTTAGTTAGTTAGTTAGTTAGTTAGTTAGTTAGTTAGTTAGTTAGTTAGTTAGTTAGTTAGTTAGTTAGTTAGTTAGTTAGTTAGTAGTTAGTTAGTTAGTTAGTTAGTTAGTTAGTAGTTAGTTAGTTAGTTAGTTAGTTAGTTAGTTAGTTAGTTAGTTAGTTAGTTAGTTAGTTAGTAGTTAGTTAGTTAGTTAGTTAGTTAGTTAGTTAGTTAGTTAGTTAGTTAGTTAGTTAGTTAGTTAGTTAGTTAGTTAGTTAGTTAGTTAGTTAGTTAGTTAGTTAGTTAGTTAGTTAGTTAGTTAGTTAGTTAGTTAGTTAGTAGTTAGTTAGTTAGTTAGTTAGTTAGTTAGTTAGTTAGTTAGTTAGTTAGTTAGTTAGTTAGTTAGTTAGTTAGTTAGTTAGTTAGTTAGTTAGTTAGTTAGTTAGTTAGTTAGTTAGTTAGTTAGTTAGTTAGTTAGTAGTTAGTTAGTTAGTTAGTTAGTTAGTTAGTAGTTAGTTAGTAGTTAGTAGTAGTTAGTTAGTAGTTAGTTAGTTAGTTAGTTAGTTAGTTAGTTAGTTAGTTAGTTAGTTAGTTAGTTAGTTAGTTAGTTAGTTAGTTAGTTAGTTAGTTAGTTAGTTAGTTAGTTAGTTAGTAGTAGTTAGTTAGTTAGTTAGTTAGTTAGTTAGTTAGTTAGTTAGTTAGTTAGTTAGTTAGTTAGTTAGTTAGTTAGTAGTTAGTTAGTTAGTTAGTTAGTTAGTTAGTTAGTTAGTTAGTTAGTTAGTTAGTTAGTTAGTTAGTTAGTTAGTTAGTTAGTTAGTAGTTAGTTAGTTAGTTAGTTAGTTAGTTAGTTAGTTAGTTAGTTAGTTAGTAGTTAGTTAGTTAGTTAGTTAGTTAGTTAGTTAGTTAGTAGTAGTTAGTTAGTTAGTTAGTTAGTTAGTTAGTTAGTAGTTAGTTAGTTAGTTAGTTAGTTAGTAGTTAGTTAGTTAGTTAGTAGTTAGTTAGTTAGTTAGTTAGTTAGATAGTTAGTTAGTTTGTTAGTTTGTTAGTTTGTTAGTTCGTTAGTTTGTTAGTTTCTTAGTTTCTTAGTTTGTTAGTTTGTTAGTTTGTTAGTTTGTTAGTTTGTTAGTTTGTTAGTTTGTTAGTTTGTTAGTTTGTTAGTTTGTTAGTTTGTTAGTTTGTCAGTTTGTTAGTTTGTTACTTAGTTAGTTACTCAGTGAGTTCTCGAGACGTTTTACAACCAAGTCTAAGATCTTACATCTATTCTTATATCTATATTCTGTCTAACTTACCTATAACCTTCGTAGTATTCAAGACATCACCCGATGTCGTTATATCTATAATATGATGTGTCACATGATAACTGTCACCGACCTTAACGCTAACATTGTCATGATCATCATCGTCCAAAATCAGTGGTTCTTTAGGCACAAAACCACCCTCGGTTTTGGTGGGCGGAGAAAATCCTTTTGTCGATGAGGGTGTCCCAGAAGCTGCAAAATCATATTTCAAGAAAGCAGGAGAACCCAAAGTGCCGTCAAATTTTCCTGCATTCGAGGAAACCAGAGAATCGGGACCTTCAACATTAAATTTATAAATATACTCTGCCTTACTGCCATCTTCTAAATCAGGGTATAAAGGATATTTTTCAGTAATTGAAGGATATAAATTTGCGTCATCGTATAGATCATAGTCTATGCGTGATATGGGTGCAGAAGGATGATGGTAGTATTCATAGGAGGAACCTTGATTGTGGTCGGCTTTAACAGCATCGGTGGGTAAGAAAGGTATAATTTTGAGATTTGGCAAACTAGGCGGTAAAGTAGGTTCCGAGTTTTGATCCAGAGGTTCGGATTCCAAAATGGTAGGGTTTGTTTTGATGACTACTACGGGTTTCGAAGTGGTAGATGTTGTAGGTTTCGTTGTAGTAGTTGTCGACGTGGTTGTAGTTGTTGTGGATCTTGATGTTAGTGCTGCTGTAGTGCTGGAGGTGCTTGTTGTAGAAGGTGTGGTGGTACTTTGTAGTTCCTCTTCTATTGCCTTTAAGGGTATGGGTGGATTTTTTTTTTCTTTCCCTGGCAACGGTTTAAAGGTGGGTTTTGTAAAATCCTTGGTTGATATAATGGGTGGCTTTACAGTGAGATTAGCTATTTTGGAATTGATGCGTGAATAGGTTTTATCTTGTGGTAGAGGCTTAAACGAAGGCATGGGCTTAGGAGTGGGCAATTTCACTGTGGTGGTTCGATTGAAATTTTGCTTGTTATTTGCAAGAGTTGGCGTATTGTGGCGGGTTTTATTTTCACCAGCCAAAATGCCACTTAAACCATCTAGTAGTTGAGCCAAAAAGTCGGAATTTTTATCAGGTTTTGTTTGTGTATGATTCTTGCCCGGATTATGGTTGATTTTTGTTGACAAAGGTTTTGGTTTTTGATGAGTGGCAGTAGTTTTTGTTGGTTTCTTGGTGGTTGAGGTAGTAGTAGTGGTACTGGTCGTTGTAGTAGTGGGTTTATTCGTGGTTGTAGTAGTTGTTGTTGTTGCAGTTTTCTTGGTAGTACTTACAGGTTGTTTGATCTTTATTTTTTCAGTAGTTTCAGTTAAAGTTGTGGGATAAGTTTGTGTAGAGTCCTCATTGTTTGATTCTGTTGTTGTAATCATATCTAGCGTGGAAAAAGAGAGTTTTTCTTGTTGCTCGGCATTTAACTCTCCCACTGACTCGCCACTGTCTACAAAACTTTCATGATCGACACGATCTATCGATGTGGTACTTTCAAAATCCAGCTGATCTTGTACATTTGTAGTGTCACCTTTATCTACTTTATCGGACATAGTGCTGGCCGAATCTTTCGAATCCTCCTCCTTATCTGGTCCCAATAGTAAATCGACCCAATATATACCCGTACTAGTAGGAGTAGTTTTCTCTTCCACCGATTCAGTTTCCTCGGAGGAATTTTCCGTTTTCTGTTCATTGGGTTCCGAAGGTCCAAGTAGTAAATCTAGAAAGCTTACTTCTGTTGTACTAACAATATTGTGCATGCCCAAGGGTATGGGTGTAGGTGAGGGTCTGGCTTTCTTGTGTAGTGTTGGTTGTGGTGGTACAACCACTAGCTCCATATTATCCTTAAGCATTTGATTATTATTGTTATCGATAAATTCTAAACCTTCTCTTATGGAATCGAATATACTTTTCTCTGTTGTGGCCGCTTTATTTTTTGTCGGCTTTGTAGTTATGGGCTCTCTGTCATGCGGGTATTGTACGGGTATTTCTGTGGCAGCATTTTCATCTTGTTCATCATCTTTACCAAACAGTAAGGAGAACAAATTAAATTGTCTGGAATTTTGTGATCTGCGATAATCCCGCTGGCTGCCACAGTCGTAACTGGAAGGACAACATTGCCCTTTGGGCACCACTGGTATGCAATTCCTTAAAGCTGGGGCACATTTCTTGGGTGCACATTTCCTTTGTCCTCTTATACAGAAACATATATCGCAGGGTTTATCTTTATCACTTTTCATTTTCTGTCCTTCCGTATAGAATTGTTGACCCACGGTACAACCATGATTACGTTGCAGACGTTGGGACATTCTCATATAATGTTTATTGGAAGTTTTGCGATAACGCACTTCTTGGGATGATTTGCCTGTTTGTTTGGTACTACAATCGTAACGTACGGGACAACAGGTGGAGTCCACAAAAATGGGTTTGCAGCCTTCGACCGGTAGCATGCATTTGGGTTTAACACATTTCTCAGTGCCACCTGTAATGAATAAGGGAGTTTAGTGCCTAAATATCTATGATTAGGGATTTAAAGTAACTCACCAATACAATAACAATAACTGCAGAGATTGGAGGAAGACATTGCCGAGCCAGATTTGTAAACTGTACCATTTTTAACACAAACTGGAAAATAGAAAAGAAAATTAATTTTATTTGCAAATAAGAGACCTAGACTAATTTCTCTTATATGTGTGTATGCCCTATAGTGATCAGAATCAAAATTCCTTATAAAATAGTTTTCATTACTAAAACTTCATTTAACATAATCTTAACATTTAAGATCATTTTAAACAGTGAGTAATTTAAAAAATTTAACTAATCTCACTATGTTCCCAGCATTTAGCTTCTTCTTTTGCCACAGTAATGATCCTGACGCTAAAACATATTATATTGCACATTCATGAACGTATGCATGTGACTATGATTTTCATTTGTGATTAATTGCAAACTCGTGCATTAACACGTTTCTTGCCACAGTTAAGACAGCACTAAAAGACTAGGTAGCAAGGAGGCAAGCGAAAAAAAAGGGTTCTTAGAGAATTCCATATAATTAAAATAATCATCAGCAATTTAAAATTGTACGCAAAGGCTGGTAATGACTTAGAAGTGAGAAAGTTTTTTTTGGAAAGGGTGTAATGAAAGGAGTGGTGTTCTAGGGGACCTAAAAAGTAAGCCATAGTCTCGACTTTAGAAAGTTCTAAAGTCGCGACTATATATAGCTCCAAAGACTTTACTTTAGCCTAGACTAAACTATAGGCCTGACTATTGACTAGACTAAAGACTATATTTTAGACTAGACTATAGACTAGACTATAGACTATACTATAGCCTAGACTATAGACTAGACTATAGACTAGAATATAGACTAGACTATAGACTAGACTATATAGTAGACTAGACTAGACTATAGACTAGACTATAGACTAGACTATAGACTAGACTATAGACTAGACTATAGACTAGACTATAGACTAGACTATAGACTAGACTATAGACTAGACTATAGACTAGACTATAGACTAGACTATAGACTAGACTATAGACTAGACTATAGACTAGACTATAGACTAGACTAGACTATAGACTAGACTATAGACTAGACTATAGACTAGACTATAGACTAGACTATAGACTAGACCATAGACTAGACCATAGACTAGACCATAGACTAGACTATAGACTAGACTATAGACTAGACTATAGACTAGACTATAGACTAGACTATAGACTAGACTATAGACTAGACTATAGACTAGACTATAGACTAGACTATAGACTAGACTATAGACTAGACTATAGACTAGACTATAGACTAGACTATAGACTAGACTATAGACTAGACTATAGACTAGACTATAGACTAGACTATAGACTAGACTATAGACTAGACTATAGACTAGACTATAGACTAGACTATAGACTAGACTATAGACTAGACTATAGACTAGACTATAGACTAAACTGTAGACTAGACTATAGACTAGACTATAGACTAGACTATAGACTAGACTATAGACTAGACCATAGACTAGACTATAGACTAGACTATAGACTAGACCATAGACTAGACCATAGACTAGACTCATAACACCGCATGATCACAAACCCTTTTCCGTTCATAAAAACCCGCCCTACTAAAATAGTGTTTATTTCTCTAAGTACTGTGTATATATGAATGTTTGTCTACCATAACTTACCATATAAATCGACATCAGTATCATCAGATCTGCGCTGTAGCATATTTTCATTGACTACACGATCAATTGATTCACGCTCGTAATGATCTAAATATGCGATAATGCGACGCGTGGCTGGTATCTTATAGAAGGCATCTAAACGTGCACACGATAAATATGGACAACATGTGTTCTTCTTTTGGACAACAACACAGCCACGAGGTGGTGGCATCGGCATCTCAGGACATACTTTTAAACGACAGACTAAAGTCTTCTTATTACACTGACAGTTCAAACATTTCTCGGTGGTGGGAACAAGTGATTTGTCTGCATACCAAGTACCATTGTGATGGCAACCTACAACGATGTTGATGGTATTTTTTGTTTTTTTTTTTCAATGTTTCGAAGGTAGACAAGAACATGTTGCATATAGTTGAGAACATTACAGATGAGAAGATGAGGATGATGATGACAAACATGTTTGTTGTCGTTGAATGGTGGGATGGGAAAGAAACATAAATATATAGAAAATTAGTATGGAATTATATAAGTATTAAGCATATTAAGAAAAAAGACAAGAAAATGTTTATAAAGTTTTTTTTTTTTTAATTTTTGAAACTGCTGTTGTTGTTGTTGCTGAAAAATGAACTTGTGTTTCTGATAAAGATATTACGATTATTTTTGTTTTAGCATGAGTCTTGTCTTTCTTTACGTTTCCTTAAGTTTAGGTATAAAAATGTGAACAAAAAAATTATGAAAAAAATTGTACAAATTAAATTTGTTGTAAGTGAGAAGTCTCTGCTGTTGTTGACCATAAAAGTCATATCTTCCATTTTTAGCAGAATATGAAAAAGGTTTAAAAAGATGACAAGTTAAACAATAAAGTTCAACAAGTATTCAGTTATTATGGATGAGTTGTAGCGAATTTCAAATACCCAACGCGATAATATAGTTTTCTTTTTGGTATTTTAATCACGCCCATTTTAAAGTAGGCGTGGTAGTCTGGTTTTTATGTTTAACACTTCTATTGTTGGGGAAAATATAATGAATTAGTGTTGATATTTAAAACACTGAAAAGTATTAATCTAGTACCAATCCTTAGGTGGTTTTGTGCGTCTGTCTATCCACGCAAACCTTGTTATCAAAGAAATGGACTTTCAGATGTCCCCTTGGAATATAATGTAATAGCTCTGTAGTCATACTATAAAGTTTGATAAAATCCAGGTTCATTAGAGCTTCTAGCTATAATATAAAAAAATGCTTTCAAATATAAATCAATCGATTTAGTTCTCCTTGGCAAAAGAGCCAATATTTCAGCGAGTTACATATCTAATGACCAATCTAATATGCCTTTCACTTCCCATATATTCTTATTGCTCATAGCTTTAACAAAAAATTCAAGATTTATTACTTTTAACACAATTAATTTCTGTAGTTATTTATTAAATACTGCTAAATAATAAAAAAAGAAGCAACAAACTTAAACTGAACAACTGAATTGGCTTTATTGTCTCGTACATTCATCTATTTGTCCGTCTCACTGACTACTAGGGTTGGCTGAGATGACAGGTTGTTGTTTTAATACCTTTAGACTATATAAATATTATTGTTGCTGTTATTTTTCTTTTACATCTTTTTGTTATTTATTTACTACTTTAGCTTTATAATACCAGCTTAAGCTTCTTGACTACCAATCCGATGGTTTTATACACTCAAAAAAAAAGGGTTGAGTAATTCGTACTCAAATCAATCCCAAAATGGGCTTGATTTGAGCTCGATTCGTACTTGATATTATAATTCACAACCTAAAAAGATATCTTTTGTCAAAAACTCAACTACTTATGGAAAACATATTCTTAACTAAATGAGAATTATATGTTTGCAGTAAAATAATTTTTAATATTGATTTGTTTTATCAAACCCGATGAGTAATTATTTAAAATATGATTAATTGTTTTAAGTACTAAAATTGCTCTTTTAATACGTTTTAGGCTAAAAATGAGAATAGTAATATTAAATTTAGTATGCGGTATTTCTCTCGGTGTACAAGTACACAGTATATCAGCATAAGTATGTGTTTAAATGGTCTATAGTACGAATATATGTTTCTTTCTAAATTGTTTATCTGTTAACATTTAATCGACAATACAATATTATTATTATTTTGATACAAGTAATTTATTTTGTTATGTCTTTTTTTATATATTTATTTAAAGAAAATTAACGAATTTTTAGAAAATAAAAGATCAACAAAATTTCACTTTTACTTAAAAAATTATTTTAAAAGTTTGCATTTTTATGAGATTGATATAAGAAAACCTTTTCTTTTTAATTAATTTCATAAGATTAAGTTAAATAGATTAAAAAAATTTAAATTACTCTTTAAAATAAGTTAGTTTGCAAAAATTCAAGGAAATTGGGAAAGACTTACTTACAACTATTGAAAAAAACGCAGTTGGAGTGGAATGTATCCAAAGGCCAGCTTGTATTTATAAAGACAATAGAAAAATATAGTCCAGGCTATATTCTGGCCCATAGTCTATAGTATAGTCTATGTCTAGTCTATTGCTTAGTCTACAGTTTAGCTATAGTATAGTCTAGTATTTTGTCGAATCTATAGTCTAGTCTACAGTATAGTCTATAGCCTAGTCTGTTGTCTAGTCTATAGTCTAGTCTACAGTTCATTCAATAGACTTGTCTACAGTTTAGTCTATTGTGTGATCTATAGTCTCGTTATAGTATAATCTATAGTTTCGTCTATAGTCTAGTCCATAGTCTAGTCTATAGTCTAGTCTATAGTCTAGTCTATAGTCTAGTCTATAGTCTAGTCTATAGTCTAGTCTAGTCTATAGTCTAGTCTATAGTCTAGTCTATAGTCTAGTCTATAGTCTAGTCTATAGTCTAGTCTATAGTCTAGTCTATAGTCTAGTCTATAGTCTAGTCTATAGTCTAGTCTATAGTCTAGTCTATAGTCTAGTCTATAGTCTAGTCTATAGTCTAGTCTATAGTCTAGTCTATAGTCTAGTCTATAGTCTAGTTATAGTCTAGTCTATAGTCTGTCTATAGTCTAGTCTATAGTCTAGTCTATAGTCTAGTCTATAGTCTAGTCTATAGTCTAGTCTATAGTCTAGTCTATAGTCTAGTCTATAGTCTAGTCTATAGTCTAGTCTATAGTCTAGTCTATAGTCTAGTCTATAGTCTAGTCTATAGTCTAGTCTATAGTCTAGTCTATAGTCTAGTCTATAGTCTAGTCTATAGTCTAGTCTATAGTCTAGTCTATAGTCTAGTCTATAGTCTAGTCTATAGTCTAGTCTATAGTCTAGTCTATAGTCTAGTCTATAGTCTAGTCTATAGTCTAGTCTATAGTCTAGTCTAAGTCTAGTCTATAGTCTAGTCTATAGTCTAGTCTATAGTCTAGTCTATATTCTAGTCTGTAGTCTAGTCTATAGTCTAGTCTATAGTCTAGTCTATAGTCGAGTCTATAGTCTAGTCTATAGTCTAGTCTATAGTCTAGTCTATAGTCTAGTCTATAGTCTAGTCTATAGTCTAGTCTATAGTCTAGTCTATAGTCTAGTCTATAGTCTAGTCTATAGTCTAGTCTATAGTCTAGTCTATAGTCTAGTCTATAGTCTAGTCTATAGTCTAGTCTATAGTCTAGTCTATAGTCTAGTCTATAGTCTAGTCTATAGTCTAGTCTGTAGTCTAGTCTGTAGTTTAATCTATAGTCTAGTCTATAGTCTAGTCTATAGTCTAGTCTATAGTCTAGTCTATAGTCTAGTCTATAGTCTAGTCTATAAGTCTAGTCTATAGTCTAGTTATAGTCTAGTCTATAGTCTAGTCTATAGTCTAGTATATAGTCTAGTATAGTCTAGTCTATAGTCTAGTCTATAGTCTAGTCTATAGTCTAGTCTATAGTCTAGTCTATAGTCTAGTCTATAGTCTAGTCTATAGTCTAGTCTATAGTCTAGTCTATAGTCTAGTCTATGTCTTAGTCTAGTCTAGTCTATAGTCTAGTCTATAGTCTAGTCTATAGTCTAGTCTATAGTCTAGTCTATAGTCTAGTCTATAGTCTAGTCTATAGTCTAGTCTATAGTCTAGTCTATAGGTCTAGTCTATAGTCTAGTCTATAGTCTAGTCTATAGTCTAGTCTATAGTCTAGTCTATAGTCTAGTCTATAGTCTAGTCTATAGTCTAGTCTATAGTCTAGTCTATAGTCTAGTCTATAGTCTAGTTCTATAGTCTAGTCTATAGTCCTAGTCTATAGTCTAGTCTATAGTCTAGTCTATAGTCTAGTCTATAGTCTAGTCTATAGTCTAGTCTATAGTCTAGTCTATAGTCTAGTCTATAGTCTAGTCTATAGTCTAGTCTATAGTCTAGTCTATAGTCTAGTCTATAGTCTAGTCTATAGTCTAGTCTATAGTCTAGTCTATAGTCTAGTCTATAGTCTAGTCTATAGTCTAGTCTATAGTCTAGTCTATAGTCTAGTCTATAGTCTAGTCTATAGTCTAGTCTATAGTCTAGTCTATAGTCTAGTCTATAGTCAAGTCTCTAGTCTAGTCTATAGTCTAGTCTAAAGTCTAGTCTATAGTCGGGTCTATTGTCTAGTCTATAAAAGTTAAAGACTTTATTAAAGAAATTATATAAATTGAAACCATTTCTGGCATATCTTGAGTAATTCCTCTAATATCAAAACTGACAAAGAAGTAGATATTTTCGCTGTAAGAAAAATCTAGCAATTCCATTAAAAGCCAATTAAATTATAAGATAATTGCAAAAGCATTGTTAATTTTTTCTTTTTAATTAAATAAATCATTAAAAAGCCACAATCTGTAAAAGCACAACTTCTTTCTTCTATTACTTAATGTAGTAATTGAAACACTAATCATCATCGAGGTACAATCGTGAAAAAACAAACTATAACAAAAAGAAATTAAACAATATAAAAAGAACTTAAATAAATAAATAGTTAATGTAGTTAATGTTAAGCCTCTATGAAAGAAAGAACATTTTTTCCATTATATTTTCAAAAGCTTTAATCAAATAAAAGAAATTGTTGCTTAAAGAAATGAACTAACATACAATATTTAATTGTTTTTTTTTTTTTGCAATTTTTTTATAAGTTCTTAACTGAAAGATGTGGAAAAATAACAAAAATTTTCTACCATTCACTTTAAATTGTCAAACAAGAGCCAAACAAAAATGTAAGAAAATAGAAAGAAAAACCTTGTACTAGCATTAACCAATAAACGACTTAAGACAACCATACACAATTGATCTGGACCATTTGTTACAAATACGCTCCCTTCTGTAGCGTCTCTTGCCAATAATTCTCATTTCTTTTCTACTTTTGTGAAAGGTTTTTATTTGTTATTTCATGATTTTCTTTTATTTAATTTCATGATTATATTTGTTTCAATTGCATCCTAATGACTATTTAAGTTAATGTCTTTTCAATAATATTGTTTTCTTTTATTTAGACTTTTGGTGCGGCTTAATGGGTGGTTATTCTAATAATGGTTTCTTCTTCCATAATCAGAATTGTAAGAAAACTTTCACCAATATGCAAGTTTGAATAAAGATTGTAATTTAAGTTTGCCCAGCAGGAGAACTTTATGAAAGACATCTTAATTTTACATTAGTTCTGCATGATCGGGTTTTGGAAAATCTATAAAGTTTATTAAATATGCAGGTATAGAAGAGGTTCGTTTATATACGGTTGAAAGAACCCATTGATCCTGCAGAGAATATTAGCAATTTATGTTCAATTTACTTGTTTTCTACTTCCTTATAGTTTTATTTAAAATATTTTAGACTGAAGACATGACTATAGATTAGACTACAGACTAGACTATAAACTAACTATAAACTATAGACTAGACTATAGAATAGACTATAGACTAGACTATAGACTAGACTATAGACTAGACTATAGACTAGACTATAGACTAGACTATAGATTAGACTATAGACTAGACTATAGACTAGACTATAGACTAGACTATAGATTAGACTATAGACTAGACTATAGACTAGACTATAGACTAGACTATAGACTAGACTATAGACTAGACTATAGACTAGACTATAGACTATACTATAGACTACACTATAGACTAAACTATAGACTAGACTATAGACTAGACTATAGACTAGACTATAGACTAGACTATAGACTAGACTAGACTAGACTAGACTAGACTAGACTAGACTAGACTAGACTAGACTAGACTAGACTAGACTAGACTAGACTAGACTAGACTAGACTAGACTATAGACTAGACTATAGACTACACTATAAACTATAGACTAGACTATAGAATAGACTATAGACTAGACTATAGAGTAGACTATAGACTAGACTATAGACTACACTATAGACTAAACTATAGACTAGACTATAGACTACACTATAGACTAGACTGTAGACTAGACTATAGACTAGACTATAGACTAGAATATAGACTAGACTATAGACTAGACTATAGTCTAGACTATAGACTAGACTATAGACTTGACTATAGACTAGACTATAGACTAGACTATACTAGACTATAGACTAGACTATAGACTAGACTATAGACTAGACTATAGACTAGACTATAGATTAGACTATAGACTAGACTATAGACTAGACTATAGACTAGACTATAGACTAGACTATAGATTAGACTATAGACTAGACTATAGACTAGAATATAGACTAGACTATAGACTAGACTATAGACTAGACTATAGACTACACTATAAACTATAGACTAGACTATAGAATAGACTATAGACTAGACTATAGAGTAGACTATAGACTAGACTATAGACTAGACTATAGACTAGACTATAGACTAGACTATAGACTAGACTATAGACTAGACTATAGACTAGACTATAGACTAGACTATAGACTAGACTATAGACTAGACTATAGACTAGACTAGATAGACTAGACTATAGACTAGACTATAGACTAGACTATAGGACTACACTATAAACTATAGACTAGACTATAGAGTAGACTATAGACTAGACTATAGAGTATAACTATAGACTACTATAGACTAGCACTATAAACTATAGGACTAGACTATAATGAACTATAGACTAGACTATAGAGTAGACAATAGACTAGACTAGAGACTACACTATAGACTAAACTATAGACTAGACTATAGACCTAGAATATAGAGCTAGACTATAGACTAGACTATAGTCTAGACTATAGACTAGACTATAGACTTGACTATAGACTAGACTATAGACTAGACTATACTAGACTATAGACTAGACTATAGACTAGACTATAGACTAGACTATAGACTAGACTATAGACTAGACTATAGACTGGACTATAGACTAACTAGACTAGACTATAGACTAGACTATAGACTATACTATAGACTATACTATAGACTAGACTATAGACTAGACTAATAGACTATACTATAGACTAACTATAGACTAGACTAGACTAGACTATAGACTAGACTATAGACTAGACTATAGACTAGACTAGACTAGACTAGACTAGACTATAGACTAGACTATAGACTACACTATAAACTATAGACTAGACTATAGAATAGACTATAGACTAGACTATAGAGTAGACTATAGACTAGACTATAGACTACACTATAGACTAAACTATAGACTAGACTATAGACTACACTATAGACTAGACTGTAGACTAGACTATAGACTAGACTATAGACTAGAATATAGACTAGACTATAGACTAGACTATAGTCTAGACTATAGACTAGACTATAGACTTGACTATAGACTAGACTATAGACTAGACTATACTAGACTATAGACTAGACTATAGACTAGACTATAGACTAGACTATAGACTAGACTATAGACTAGACTATAGACTGGACTATAGACTAGACTATAGACTAGACTATAGACTAGACTATAGATTAGACTATAGACTAGACTATAGACTAGACTATAGACTAGACTATAGACTAGACTATAGACTAGACTATAGACTAGACTATAGACTAGACTATAGACTAGACTATAGACTAGACTATAGACTAGACTATAGACTAGACTATAGACTAGACTATAGACTAGACTATAGACTAGACTATAGACTAGACTATAGACTAGACTATAGACTAGACTATAGACTAGACTATAGACTAGACTATAGACTAGACTATAGACTAGACTATAGACTAGACTATAGACTAGACTATAGACTAGACTATAGACTAGACTATAGACTAGACTATAGACTATACTGTAGACTATGCTATAGACTAGACCATAGACTAGACTATAGACTAGACTATAGACTATACTATAGACTATACTATAGACTATACTATAGACTAGACTATAGACTAGACTATAGACTATACTATAGACTATACTATAGACTATACTATAGACTAGACTATAGACTAGACTATAGACTAGACTATAGACTAGACTATAGACTAGACTATAGACTAGACTATAGACTAGACTATAGACTAGACTATAGACTAGACTATAGACTAGACTACAGACTATACTGTAGACTATGCTATAGACTAGACCATAGACTAGACTATAGACTAGACTATAGACTAGACGAGACTATAGGCTAGACTATAGACTAGACTAGACTATAGACTAGACTATAGACTAGACTATAGACTAGACTACAGACTATACTGTAGACTATGCTATAGACTAGACCATAGACTAGACTATAGACTAGACTATAGACTATACTATAGACTATACTATAGACTATACTATAGACTAGACTATAGACTAGACTATAGACTAGACTATAGACTAGACTATAGACTATTGACTGTAGACTAAACTATATACAAAATTATTGACTAAACTATAGACTAGAATCTAGACTGCAGTTAACTATAGAATATACTATATACCAGAGTATTGACTGGACTATTGACTAGACTATGGACAAGACCAGGCTAGACTATAGACTACACTATAGACTACAACATAGACTGGACTGCAGATTAAACTGTGTACTAGACTAGACTGTAACCTAGACTATAGACTACACTTAAGGCTAGACTATAGACTAGACTTTAGTATAAACAATGGACTAGACTATGGACTGGACTATAGACACCACTATACACTAGACTCTGGACTCTAGACTAAATGTTTTCTAACCCTATTGCAATGGAATTTCTTTTTTCTGTAAAACTTCTTTAGAAATCCATTTTTACAAATAAATTAATTTATTTTTTAACCTACATCCATTCATATGCAAATCTTTAACACATATGACAAGTGAATTTTTAAAATTCAACGCTTTCCAAAAGCAATAATTCATCTGGAAAGAAAAAACGAAAGTTCTAAACTATTTAGCAAATTAACACCTAAAAACCATAACAAACATAATAAATCATTAATAACGAAAACAAACCATTTAACATACTAATCCAATAAATATATTGACAATGAATTCAAATAGGAACAACAACTTTATCAGCAGCATAGCAAAAACAGCAGCAGCTATAACAACATCATTAGCATAGAATAACATTTGAACAAAAATTTGCTGTTGGCACAAAAATAGAAAACTTGGCAAATTTAAAAATAGTAATGGAATTAATTATCTTTTATTTCAAATCACATACATAGTTTGGCGTATTGAATTTGAAATTCAAAACAAAAAAGCGTTAAATTCCTCTTACCGGTATTTGGTGTATAATAAGCTTCCAACTGAGATGGTAGAATGACTATTAAAATAGCTAAACTCGTTAGAATACTAAAGCAACTAATCAGAGTCATATTGATGAGTCAACCATACAACCAATTGACTGAATGAATTTCTGACCGACTGCTTGATGGGTAAGCGTTTTATGAGGGTTTCGAAAATGTGTTGTATTCTATCTTTGTTGGTTCGTGGGCACGTTGCTTTGTGCGTGTTAGCGTGCGAGCATGCGCCGGCTGATGTTGATGGTTTTACTCAACAAGCTGGTGATTAATGTTATGAATGAATGTATAAATTGCCTGAATAAATACGTCCAAATGATTATTAATAAACAAATAAATCATATAATTATCCACGATTGATGATGATGTTGTTGATTTTCTTTCTTTCCGAAATGTATGTCATAGGGTTACGCATGTTCTTTAAAACGCTAAAGCATACAGCGTCATGCATTCATACAGCTTTTTTAAAATGCTGTTCCGTTTGTGGTAATTATTAAGTATATTTTATGTTTTAATAATTAATATGTGTTGAAAACATAAATTTCTTTTTATTAGTGTTATTTTTATTTCTAAATTGAACACAAACGTGTTTGTTTGTCTCTTAAAGATTTGTATGCATTGCTGCAGCAGCAATTATGTTGTGGAACATCTTTGTTAATTCCTGTAATAAACATATAAACAAATAGAGAAATAGATTAATATTATTGCTGACAATAAAATCATAAATAATTCGACTAGACTATAGAGAAGACAAGACTAAAGACCAGACTATAGACTAGACTATAGACTAGACTATAGACTAGACTATAGACTAGACTATAGACTAGACTATAGACTAGACTATAGACTAGACTATAGACTAGACTATAGACTAGACTATAGACTAGACTATAGACTAGACTATAGACTAGACTATAGACTAGACTATAGACTAGACTATAGACTAGACTATAGACTAGACTAGACTAGACTATAGACTAGACTATAGACTAGACTATAGACTAGACTATAGACTAGACTATAGACTAGACTATAGACTAGACTATAGACTAGACTATAGACTAGACTATAGACTAGACTATAGACTAGACTATAGACTAGACTATAGACTAGACTATAGACTAGACTATAGACTAGACTATAGACTAGACTATAGACTAGACTATAGACTAGACTATAGACTAGACTATAGACTAGACTATAGACTAGACTATAGACTAGACTATAGACTAGACTATAGACTAGACTATAGACTAGACTATAGACTAGACTATAGACTAGACTATAGACTAGACTATAGACTAGACTATAGACTAGACTATAGACTAGACTATAGACTAGACTATAGACTAGACTATAGACTAGACTATAGACTAGACTATAGACTAGACTATAGACTAGACTATAGACTAGACTATAGACTAGACTATAGACTAGACTATAGACTAGACTATAGACTAGACTATAGACTAGACTATAGACTAGACTATAGACTAGACTATAGACTAGACTATAGACTAGACTATAGACTAGACTATAGACTAGACTATAGACTAGACTATAGACTAGACTATAGACTAGACTATAGACTAGACTATGACTAGACTATAGACTAGACTATAGACTAGACTATAGACTAGACTATAGACTAGACTATAGACTAGACTATAGACTAGACTATAGACTAGACTATAGACTAGACTATAGACTAGACTATAGACTAGACTATAGACTAGACTATAGACTAGACTATAGACTAGACTATAGACTAGACTATAGACTAGACTATAGACTAGACTATAGACTAGACTATAGACTAGACTATAGACTAGACTATAGACAAGACTATAGACTAGACTATAGACTAGACTATAGACTAGACTATAGACTAGACATAGACTAGACTATAGACTAGACTATAGACTAGACTAGACTATTAGACTAGACTATAGACTAGACTATAGACTAGACTATAGACTAGACTATAGACTGACTATAGACTAGACTATAGACTAGACTATAGACTAGACTATAGACTAGACTATAGACTAGACTATAGACTAGACTAGACTATAGACTAGACTAGACTATAGACTAGACTATAGACTAGACTATAGACTAGACTATAGACTAGACTATAGACTAGACTATAGACTAGACTATAGACTAGACTATAGAATAGACTATAGACTAGACTATAGACTAGACTATAGACTAGACTATAGACTAGACTATAGACTAGACTATAGACTAGACTATAGACTAGACTAGACTAGACTATAGACTAGACTATAGACTAGACTATAGACTAGACTATAGACTAGACTATAGACTAGACTATAGACTAGACTATAGACTATAGACTAGACTATAGACTAGACTATAGACTAGACTATAGACTAGACTATAGACTAGACTATAGACTAGACTATAGACTAGACTATAGACTAGGACTATAGACTAGACTATAGAATAGACATAGCTAGACTATAGACTAGACTATAGACTAGACTATAGACTAGACTATAGACTAGACTATAGACTAGACTATTAAGACTAGACTATAGACTAGACTATAGACTAGACTATAGACTAGACTGTAGACTAGACTGTAGACTAGACTGTAGACTAGACTGTAGACTAGACTGTAGACTAGACTGTAGACTACTGTAGACTACTGTAGACTAGACTGTAGACTAGACTGTAGACTAGACTGTAGACTAGACTGTAGACTAGATGTAGACTAGTCTATGGACTAGACTATGGACTAGACTATGGACTAGACTATAGAAGACTATAGACTAAACTTAGACTAGACTATAGACTAACTATAAACTAGACTATAGACTAGACTATAACTAGACTATAGACTAGACTATAGAATTGACTATAGACTAGATTATTGACTAGACTATAGACTAGACTATAGACTAGACTATAGAATAGACTATAGACTAGAATATAGACTAGAATATAGAATAGACTATAGACTAGACTATAGACTACACTATAGACTAGACTATAGACTAGACTATAGACTAGACTATAGACTAGACTATAGACTAGACTATAGACTAGACTATAGACTAGACTATAGACTAGACTATAGACTAGACTATAGACTAGACTATAGACTAGACTATAGACTAGACTATAGAATAGACTATAGACTAGATTATTGACTAGACTATAGACTAGACTATAGAATAGACTATAGAATAGACTATAGACTAGACTATAGACTAGAATATAGAATAGAATAGACTATAGACTAGAATATAGACTAGAATATAGAATAGACTATAGAATAGACTATAGACTAGAATATAGACTTGACTATACACTAGATTATACACCAGACTATGCATTAGACTATACTTTAAACTATACACTGGACTATAGACAAGACTATAGACTAGACTATAGACTAGACTATAGACTAGACTATAGACTAGACTGTAGACTAGAATATAAACTAGACTATAGCCTAGACTAGACACTAGACTATATACATGCTATGTTATACACTAGGCTATATACATGGTAGGTTATACACTAGACTATAATCTAGATTATACACTAGACTGGTCCATAGACTATACTATACACTAAGATATACCCTTAACTATACATTAGACTATACACCAGACTATGGACTAGACTAGATAGGCTTGACCATAGACTATTTAAAATGTTATTACTTAAAACTTTGAATTATAGTTTAGTACATGTACTACTTCTTTGGCTAATTAAGTCTAAAGTGTGAGCTATTCAATAGATATGTAAAAGCCATCGTGTTTGGACTAGTCCTCTCTTAGTCTTACAACTAATCATAAAAATGTTAACATATTCATTGCAATTCATTTATGGACACTATAGCAAGAAAAAACCAAAATGTTAATGTTTTCTAATTAGTATTAATAAAAATTCATTATTTGATAATGACATTAAAAATGCTAATGATACTTAACACATTATGCCGTTAGATTTCAAACGATTTATTTAACCGCAAAATTAGCAACAGCAACAATAACTAAAATCAAGTTTTACAAAAAATAAAAACAACAAAATAAACATGTATTAAAGCCAAACCGACAGTCCGACCAACATAAAAACACCTTTAAGTGTTTATCTAATAAAACAAATATATGGATTCATAGATATGCGGCTGTATTTGTAGTACGAAAGAATTAATGTTGCATTACAACTGTTAAAGTGCAACATCATCATTATGATGTCTCAACATGTTTCGTGCAACCATGCGCCTGTAGACATATACACCACCATTAAAAAAAACTCCAAAGAAACTACAAAAAAAATAAAGTCCAAAATAAAAAAAAAATAAACGACAAAGTCATGGACAGCAGAGATGAAGTCGCTGCATGCGGTCTAATAGCCGTTAGAATCACGGTTTTAAGAAAAAAATAGAAGACAATTTTCAATGAATGTAAAAAGAAAAGATTTTTAGTTTTTTTTTATTGTTTGAGGAATAAACTAAACCTAGCAAATGGTTTTAGACCAGGTGAGTTAAATAACTGGAGACAGAACTATAGAGTAGTTTTGTTTAAAAAAGTTGATTTTTTTATATACATTTTTTGATGAAGAACTTCGGTGTAAGAGCTGGAAGGAAACATGAACCGATATTTAGCATACTCCATAATCTGATTTTTAGGGGACTTTAAACTTAATTATGCTTTAATTCGATCGTGACCTCTACTTACTTAATAGAGGTTGACTATTTCTATATTAACTAATCTATGGATTAGTTAATATAGAATACAACTTCATCTTTTCGAGATGGTCGAGAGGAGGTTGCTGGTTTATAAAAACATAACAGATTAGGAACTACACGTTGCAAAGGAAGCATTTTGTTATTACCAAAATCAAAGATGGAATATTGTTTGTGGAAAATTAAGCAAATGGTACTTTTTGGATTTTTTTATAATATTGAACATATAAGGCAACAAAACCTATAAAAGATAATTTTTTATACTTTTTCATTCTTCAAAAGGTACTTTTTGAACTTTCTATAATATTGAAGTTAGACATATAAAATTAAACACTTAGATCCCGTAGTAAATGAGACCCTATAACTTTTTGGAACATTTTCATCCTTCGAAAGGTACTTTTTGAATTTTCAATAATAATGAACCTATAAACATAAAATTAAGCAGACATAAAAGGTAAATTTTTGGTACTTTTTCGTACTTCAAAAGGTACTTTTTTAATCTCCGATAATAATGAACCTATAAACATAAAATTAAGCCTAATGTAGAGTCCGGATGAGAATGAGAACCTACAAAAGAAGATTTTTTGGTACTTTTTCGTTCTTCAAAAGGTACTTTTTGAATTTTGTATAATACTGAACCCATAAGTACACGAGAACCTATAAAAGGCAACTTTTGGTATATTTTTGAACTTTTCAACTGGTACTTTTTGAGTTTTTGAAATTAAGCATGTAAATGTAAATGATGATGATATTAAAAAATCTATAAGAGTAAAGTTTTTTAGTACTTTTTGAGCTTCAAAAGGTACTTTTTGAATCTTTTATAATAATGAACCAAGAAACGTAAAATTAAATATGCAGAAAACTGATGGGATGCCTAATTTATGAAAGGAGTACTTTTGTTTTAATGAATTAATGATTTTATATAAACATAT